GCATATGCACATGAAACCTATGCTGCGATGCACAATGCCACATCAACACAATTGATAGCATGAACAGTGATAATGAACTTCAAATAGGTATAACTTTTTTTATAAATATCTAAATTAAGTTATTCAAGTATCCATACAAAGCTCATTAAAAGATCTAGCTAATAGCTTTAGTTTGGTATAAAAATTCCTCTAAATGAGGATTTTATTCATAAAATTCCATTATGGACCAAAATACACTTTTCCAACAATCTTTACACTTCCCAAACCAATTAGCCATAGCTATTGTGTAAGACACTTGACCAAGTCATACACATCTCACAAAAGAATTTTATATCATGACATTAACACAAGAATCCAAGGCTCAATAAATAGGTAACAACCACCCAACATAGTATATATAGAAAAATGCACAACATATGTAGTCAAAGATACTTTTCTATTCCAAACACTTAGATAGTAACTTGAACTAACAAAAAGGCCATAAACGTAGCAAAAAACCATATCATGGCAACCAAATATAATTTTACTCAACACATAGAGTTACATGCTCATAATACAAAATGTATGCTCTAATGTTGGCAATACATACATATAAAGAACTAGAGAGGTTCTACAATTAAGTGGTGATCCACACACCACTTTTATGCCTCAGGTGCTTCTCTGGCCAGATCTTTCCTTGTAAAATATTAACTATGGGATGAGACATAAAAGACTTAGTAACCAAAACTAATATATAACGAAACATGCAATACAACTAACCATGCGATTGCTAAGTAAGGCATACAATAGTGATTTCTAAAAAACCATTATCCAAAATAAATCAAAACAAAATGTATTTAGCGTGATGACCCCTTATAAACCTCCCAACACCATGCTTAGAACTAAATCACCCAACTAAAAATAGGTTAGTCCAAGCTAATAGCCACTCATTGAGTTCAATGAGAGCTTACCATGTGGCAAAATACAACTCTGGACAAAATCCCCTAACAACACAGATTTTCCAAACAAGTCCTGACATGTCATGCTTATTTTCAAACAATATGAAACATAATCGAACAATTTTCATGCTTATGAACAAATTTTGATTCCAAACATAACATATACATATATAATTTATCCACTTGGCAATGATTTTTCAAATAATAAAAACATGCTTTCTCAAACATAACTTGCTTCCAAACCATATAAAATCATGCATAGCAAGTCTCAATGCACGTATAATCACACATTAATAGTGATTACCTTTGTTCCTTGCTATTAAATCTCCCTAAATAAGTGCACTTTCATTGCCAATGGCATTTCTACCATAACCTACATATATCACAATACTAACTATAGTTAATAAAGTGTCAATCAACACTATTTAAAGTGTCAACACACTAATCACCCCCTAATCATAGGGTTAGGTTAATTAACCTAATTAACTTAAACTGTTAAACTTGTTTAAACCCTTAAACATATTTAAAATTATCACCATTATACCTACTAATCACTTAATCAATTCCTACATAACACAAATCATCATTAAATCACCCACCAAAACTAGGGTTTCAAATTTAACTTTTACATTATCATATACAACATCAAAACAACTTAAATTATACTTATTTAGCCTCAAAACATCTATTAGGTTTAGATTTAAGGACTAGGTCCCCAAAAAAGAAAAACCATAACACACCCATGATGAAATCCAACTTAAAATGGAGAGAAATTGTGCTTACTCAATGCTCCACACCAAAATTGTGCTTAACCAATGCTCCACACCAAACCTTAATAGAATATTCAATTTTCATGCCCTAACACCTCCCAAACTCTCCTTTGTTTTTTATTTTTGCAATAGAAACATAAATGCTAAAATGCTTCATATGTTCTGCCATGTGCATTGTAACACTTGCCCCGAGTGTTATCCAAAAATCACACAATTCAAATAAAATAAGTGTGGTTAAGGAATTAATCCTAAAATCAACTTAGGAAACAAACCATTTAAATCACTAAGCAAATACACAATTGCAAATTAAACATTTAAAGCCTTTAAAAAAATTTTATAGGTTCTACCTATAGCGCACGGAAGCAAGTTAGACGAAAGAAGGGTAAAAATATGCTGTCATGACAGCCCTCCTGAGTCAACTTCAGGGCGGCACCGTTCAATCTTCCGATCTCTGATCGAAGAAATTTTAAAGCTCACACGTCACATTCAAAGGGTACTATAAGTGTACCAAATTTCAAAAAGATCCAACGGTCGGATTAAAAATTAGACATGTTAAAAAATTGATTATTTTTGCTGTCATGACAGCTAAAAAGCTGTCATGACAGCACTTCCGGACCAACTTCCGGAGTGCACCATTTCATCATCTGATCTCCGATCGGAGTGATTCCAAAGCCCACATGTCACTTTTAAAGAATACTATTAGCATACTAAATTTTGAAAAGATCCAACGAACGGATTGAATTTTATGTAGGTTACAACATCAATACTGTACTGTCATGACAGTAATTTAATGCTGTCATGACAGCACCTCCAGACCAAATTCTGAAGTACGTCATTTCTCCGTCCGATATTCGATCGACGTGATTCCAAAGCCACACGAAGCTTGTAAAAGGTTTTACTTGTGACCCAAATTTTAGAGAAATCCAACGGTCGGATTAAGATTTGGACACCCGGATGCAAAAGTGCAGCTTTTTGGTAAAAACCATTTTCAAAATTGTCCAAATCTCATCCTAATGGTCACAAACCTGTGGGAACACTTTGGACACGTCAAATAAGACTAAAAACACCTGATAGAACATTCAAATAATGGAAAACCCCCATACATCAAATTTTGACCACCCGGGTGCCATTTCCCAAAATGGACCCTAAACCCCCAAAATGCACAAATCATATAAGAGTGGTCACAAATCAATCTAAATACCATATATTTATATAAATACATATGCTAAACATTTTCACTTGGCTCAGAGCTCCTTGTGGGGCCCACGCACCCACTCTCTCTATCCAAGCTGTATGTTTGCCCATAGCACACCATTTGCAATGCAACCACTTTGCATTTGCTTATAAAATCACATATATATATCAAAATAAAGATCTGCTTGCAATAGAAACTTGGTCTACTAAGTAAATCCATCAAAACCACATACCATAACTAAGTTTCCTAGCCACAAGTCTGCAAACAGACAAAAATTCATACACAAGCACACAATCCACACATATTCACACACACACACATAATCATATCCTACTGGCACCCTAATCTTAAATACATTACAATATATTTGCTCAAAAGAAAGGGGTTGCAGTTCTTTACAAATCACAAGCAAACCCCTAGCTTTGCTCCTTTCCCCGTCCACCACTGGATCCTTCGCCTGGACCTAGAATATTGAAAAGAAAGGGGTGAGACAACCACAGTCTCAGTAACAGTGAAATCTACATTGATTATTACAAAGTAAGCCATAATCAAATAAACGAATAATAAATTCAACATAGTATATAATTTAGCCATTTAAAATGCATGAATACATGACTTAGGCCGGTATGGCCTTTCATGACCAACAGAATGCCCCCTGGCACTCTTTAACTCGCAGGTAAACCTTATGCCTACTTGTACCTCCACAGGCACAAAACATAATCTAAGGCATGATCTAATCCACTGAACCGCCTATGCCCCTTCAACGTGAATCCTGAGCAGTCAAAGCTAACTCCCTCCCAGAGCCAGCCCAACTTACTCTCCATGTAAGGGCTACCTTGGTCTAGGCACTCAACCTCACACTTCATATGTCGGATTCCCTCCCCCACTGAGAGGTGTCGAACACTCAATACACTAACCACTTTAGTGCACTGAGCCCACAATACGTAAGGCAATACTGAGTACTGGCAGTGTGTCATAGAATATCAAAAATCCACACCTTCTCATTGGTGAACTCCCACCAAGATCATGCCTTTTACTCTTGTCTATCTTTCCTGAGTATTGACCATTCAACACTCTAAAGTAGTATAATATTTATAAATCTCATTTCCATAAAAACATTGTTATTAAACAATTAGAAAACATATTTGCACTATAATCAAAGTAGTACCCCATAACCCCTTATAAAACACATTTAATCTTTTAAAACATGTAATGCATGATAACTAGTAATATTTATTCAAAAATAGCTAAAACAAAGTAATAATAAATATAAATTTCCCTGTCACCTCAACCCTTTGGTACCAAAAGGGTTTCCCTTGTACAAAATAGGTCTCGGCTTGTTCCTTACTTCTCAATAAGTTCCACCAACAATTTTCTACAACATATAAGTGATCCACATCACTTATCATGACAAATAGCATTAATGAAGACTATAACTCATACCACACAACTTGGGTCTATGAGCCATAATCCATCCCAATAGTCCATATATTAAACCAACCATTCACATAGTATCACTTAACCACCAAAACCATTTATTAGCCATCATTAGGCTAATTTCCAATTTATATAATTTTTTATTAATTAAAAACCTTCACTTAGTGTCACCAACTTTCACCATTAGCCCTTATAATGAAAACCAAACCTTAATTTAAATCTTATTGGGCTCAAATAGCAAAATTATAACTAAATCAATAAGCTTAAACCATTGAAGAGCAAAAACCCAATTTCTCAAGGTTTAATTTGTGCCCAAAACACCTCTTTTCATCCAATTATCCACTCAAAACATTAGATCACTATATAGAAACTCAAAACATGCTCCCTAGGATCCAAAGAAATAAAAGCTTACAAGAATAAAGCCTTTTGTAACACCCTCAAATTTACAAACTGATTTTTCGCAAATCATTAATTCAATAAATCATTTTTTTTTCATTGAACCCTCATCATACCCTTATCATGGTAGAAAAATTTCTACCATGGTACATCCAAGACAATATACCACAGGTCTTAAAATATCTCAAAAAAAACAATTAGAACCATGAGGGACAGACAGGATCCTCATGACATGATATTTAAATCAGGTCATGAATCAAGAGGGACAGATATAATCCTCTTGGTCATATAAATACTTTTAATAAAAAGGATTAGAGTTTACATGCTTCACAAAGAAGATATGTCCTAAGTTGGCACAAGATACATTGTATAATCCAAAATAAGAGGCAACGTAAAAGATGGTGTCTCATACACCATAGTTACACCTCTGGTGCTTTCTCGGCCAGACTCGCTCCTGTAAAAATGTTAACCACGGGGAATGAGACTTAAAAGTCCCAGTAACCAAAAATTAATATGTAATGATGCATGCGGATGTAACTAATCATGCGATTGCTAAGTGGGCACACAAAACATTTAACCGAACAATACTTTCAAACAAACCGAACAAGTATTTAATTTGCATGACTGCACCTTATATCCTCCTTTCGCCATGCTCGGACGCCAAATCACCCGGCCAAAGGTGAGTTGGACCAAGCGACACGCCACTCATTGGGTCCAATGAGGGCTTACCACGTGGTAATAATTAACCGAACAGAAATTCCCATTAACACCATACATTAAAATACCCTGACAAGTCATGCATCATTCAAATATCCAAACAGGAATATATCCGAACAATAATATCTCATCATGATAAATAAAAATAAATTTTTAACCCACTTGGCAATAATTTCAAACAAGTATATACAGTATTTATTTTCAATAATTCATAATTTTTCCAAACAACAAAATAACACATAACCATTCACAAACACACCCATCACAACACATTAATAATGGTTACCTTGTGTCTTGAATAACAAGTTCCCCTTCACAACTCCTTTTTCACCACTATCTTTGTCAATATAATCTACATAATTATTTCACAATACTATATATTAATTTTACATTAAAATAAATAACTCTAATTTAAAGAGTTAGAAAGTCTTAGATCTATAGTCCATATTAACACCAATTTAAGATTTATGCCTCATTTAACTTCCCAAATTCTTTTCTAAAATTTCGTACCCTAATGAACTATTTTTTTAATCCTCAATTCACTTCTAGTATCACAATTTCATCCTTCTATATTCTAAAAATTCATCCAAAAATAAATTAAAAATTTTAGAATTATCCTGAAGCCTCAAATCACCTTTCTATAACCTCAAAAATACCTATTCATACTTAAATAAATATTTAATAATCATAGGTTTATCCCTACGTCTCAGATTCCACATAAATTCAACCATATAGATCTAGATTTTAACTCAAAAATTCTTAAACATGAGTTTCAACCTTAAGAAAATATTCTATAATATTTTTTATATCCCTAAGAATTTTAACCTATATTTTTAATCCATCATATCATCAGATTAACTATCCTATAGAAAAATCCTAATCAAAATATTTACTCTATCCTACAAAATAATCATATCACTAGAAAGCTAATATTATTTAGAAAATAACTATAAAATTAATTTTGTAATTAAATAAATTTTTAAATGCTAATCTAAACAGGAAAGTTAGAACATACCTGAAGAAAAAGAAATAATCCCCCCTTGCGAGAAAACGCCGAGCAACGTGAGAGGAAGAGAGAAAAATAATATAAAAATGGGATTGTAGTCCCAAAATTATATTAAAAAAAACTATAGGTTCGAATTTAATTATTCAAACCTTTGGGCCAAAAGTTGCAATTTCCTCTAAATTGCATCTTAGCCTCTCATGCTTCCTAATGCACACACCCCCTCCTTTTTATACATGAAGGCACCTCTTCTCTTCCCTCATCTAACCAATGTGGGACTTAGAAACAACAACCTTCCACCCCCTTTTTTTTTGTTCCTTCTACCTTCTCTTTTTTTTTAACACACAATAAAAAAAATTATTTATGTATTATATCTTAACTAAATATTGCTTATGTGATTTTAAATTTAAATTTTTAAATTTATAATTAAATACCTAACCATAATATCATTTCTAAATAACCTCAAATAATATAAATTCCTATTATTATCATTTTTTTCCTCAAAACCTAAATTCCACAATTTCTTTATTATATAAAAATCAGGATGTTACAATTCTCCCCTCCTTTTAGAAATTTTGTCCTCAAAATTTAATGCTGGTAAGCTTAGAAACTATGTACCTAAGCAAATAAATGTGGATAATCTCGCCTCATACTCTCCTCGGTTTCCCAAGTAGCATCACCTAGGGCTCCACCCTTCCAAATCACCTTCACGAGTCGGATGGTCTTATTGCGTAGTTGTTTGTCCTTAAAGTCCTCAATTCGCTCGGTTCGGATCTAAAGGTCAAATTCTCCCTCAATTCTACTTCTTCAGGTTCAATAACATGGGAGGGATCCGGGTTGTACTTCTTCAACTGTGATACGTGGAACACATTATGGATACCTGCAATCTGTGGAGGTAATGCAACTCTATATGCAGCAGATCCAATTCGCTCCAAGATCTCATACGGGCCCATAAATCTAGGTGTCAATTTCTTTGCCTTAATGGATCTACCAATGCCTGTCACTGGAGAAACCTTCAAAAATACATGATCTCCTACTTCAAACTCTAACGGCCGTCTTCTCTTATCAGCATAAGCTCTTCTGTCGACTCTGAGCTGTTAGCAATTTTTGCTTAATCATTGCAATTTCTGGGTGGTCTGCTCTACAATTTCTGGACCAATGATACTCCTCTCACTTAATTCTGTCCAACACAAAGGCGATCTACACTTCCTGCCATACAAGGCCTCATAAGGCGCCATCCCAATACTAGAATGATAGCTGTTATTATAGGCAAATTCAGCTAATGGCAAATGATTATCCCAACTACCTGGTAGTTCAATGGCACAAGCTCTCAACATGTCCTCCAAAGTCTGGATCGTCCTCTCTGTTTGTCCATCTGTTTGGGGGTGGTATGCGGTGCTAAAACTCAGTCTGGTACCCATAGCTTTCTGTAGCGCACCCCAAAAGTTTGAAGTGAACCTTGGGTCACGATCTGACACAATTCTAGAGGGTATACCATGAAGTCTAACTATCTCCTTAATGTATATCTCAGCAAATTTCTCTAATGTAGAGGTAAACTTGATCGCCAAAAAGTGAGCCGATTTGGTGAGTCGGTCTACTATCACCCAAATAGCATCCTTACTCGAGGGTGTTCTTGGCAGTCCAGTGATGAAATCCATAGAAATATCATCCCATTTTCACTTTGGAATATCTAACGGTTGCAGTGTTCCAGCTGGCTTCTGATGTTCTATCTTTATCTTCTGACACGTTAAACATCTAGAAACAAATTCAGTTACATCTTTCTTCATTCCTGGCCACCACCAACCTCGCTTCAAATCATGGTACATTTTAGTTATACCGGGATGAATTGTATATTTGCTCCTATGAGCCTCTTCTAAAAGGATATTCCTCAATCTTGGATCATTAGGTACACAAACTCTACCTTTATACCTCATCACTGTGTCCTCAGAGATGGTAAAATTTGGGGCCTTACCTGCCACTATTCCTTCCTTATATTCTTCAAGTAGTCATCACTCTGCTGTGAGACTCTGAGATCTTCCCAAAATTTGCTCTCAAAGTCTGCTACCTGGAGCGCGGCCATTTGATGTTCAATCACATCCACTGGAACATCATGAAAACTGTTCCACAAATGATATTCATGAACCATCAAATGTGCAGCATGAATAGTCTTCCTACTTAAGGCGTCAGCTACCACGTTAGCCTTACCCGGATGGTAATGTAATTCAAAGTCATAATCCGTTAGAAATTCCATCCATCGCCGCTGCCTCATATTAAGCTCTTTCTGATCAAATAAATACTTCAGGCTCTTATGGTCACTGAAGATTTGAAACTTAGATCCATACAAGTAGTGTCTCCATATCTTCAGAGCAAACACAACTGCAGCCAACTCCAAGTCATGTGTAGGGTAATTTTCCTCGTGTGGCCTCAACTGTCTAGAGGAATAGGCAACCACTCGGTCATCTTGCATCAAAACACATCCTAAACCCTTTAAAGAAGCATCAGTGTACAGAGTGTACGGCACCACAGGGTTAGGAATAGTCAATACTGGAGTAGTGGTTAACCTCTTTTTCAATTCTTGGAAAGCAGCTTCACATTTGTTAGTCCAAATAAATGGGGCATCCTTTTTAGTCAGCTTAGTCAAGGGCATCGCAATTTGTGAAAATCCCTTAATAAAGCGACGATAATAACCTGCTAAACCTAGAAAGCTTCGTATCTCCGTCACAGATTTTGGCCGTTCCCACTTCATCACTGCATAATCTTGTTAGGATCCACCGCAACTCCATCTCTGGACACAACATGGTCCAAAAACTTTACTTCTTGGAGCCAAAATTCACACTTGCTTAATTTGGCATAAAGCTTATTTTCCCTCAAAACTTGCAAGACGATTCTTAAATGCTCACCATGAGCCTCCTCATCCTTTGAATAAATAAGAATGTCATCAATAAACACTACTACAAACTTATCTAAATAGGGTCGAAAGATCCTATTCATGTAATCCATGAATACCGCAGGAGCATTCGTAAGTCCAAACGGCATCACCATGAATTCATAATGCCCATATCTCGTCCGAAATGCTGTCTTAGGTATATCCTCCGCTCTTACTCTCAATTGGTGGTACCCTGACCTTAAGTCAATCTTTGAGAAAACTGTGGATCCCACAAGCTGATCCAGCAAATCATCGATTCTCGGAAGTGGATATTTGTTCTTGATGGTTACTTTGTTCAATTGTCTATAATCAATGCACAATCGGAGGCTTCCGTCCTTCTTCTTTACAAAAAGGACTGGAGATCCCCAAGGTGAAACACTCGGTCTGATGAAACCTTCTCAAGTAGCTCTTCAATTTGCTTTTTTAGTTCTGCTAACTCTGAAGGGGACATCTGATAAGGAGCCTTAGAAATTGGCCCTGTACCGGGTACCAATTCAATTGAGAACTCTACCTCGCGCTTTGGGGGTAAACCGGAGACTTCGTCTGGAAATACATCCGTAAATTCTTTGACAATTGGGATATTCTTCACGCCTTCATCAATCTCAGCTTGGATAGAGAAGAAAACCATGTAGGCCTGGCAACCCTTCTTCATACATCTATCAACTTGCGCCGCCGACAAGAAAACATGATCTTGAGTCTCGACTGGGGTCACCGACAAAGAAGATAAAGACACACTCCTCTCTCTACAATCTAGGATAGCACCATTTGCAGCCATCCAATTCATTCCCACAATTACATCCATACCTCTCAATGGTAGGATAATTAAGTCCATAGTTGTTTTCCTATTTTTAAACTCGACTACTAGGTTAAGGCATGCCTTAGCAGTCCTCACAGATTCTCCCACAGGAGTAGACACATTCATATCAAAAGGTAAAATACACACAGGCAAATCAAGGTTCTTTACACAAGTTTCAGAAATAAAAGAGTGTGTAGCACCCGAATCAAATAGTGCAACAATATCATGATGAAGGATTTTGATGTTACCTCTAATGGCATCTGGGGAGTTCATGGTGTCCTGAGTAAGAGCAAACACACAGCCAGAGACAGTAGGATGTTGGGGAAGGGTTCTTCATATTTGAGCCCTGGTTGTCCCCACAAAACTTTGCAATGTGACCGGGTTTCCCACAAATGTAACAGACCCAGCACTGTCCGAAATGACGACACCCGCATTTAGTGCACTGTTGAGAGCTTGCTGTACTCGGGGCAGGGGTAGATACTGTTGGGCTCCTCTGTGACCCGTGATAACTACTATGATAGCTCCTCTGTCCTTGGCCCCTTTGAAATGGACCCTTCTGCCTTCCTTGGTTCCATGAGCTACTCGAACCCTGATGGTTTTTC